TGTCAGTCTTTTGGCAGACGTGACCACTGCTACCTGTTGCAGGGCTTACTGGTGTTTTCTCTAAAGTCAATTATGTTGACCACTGGGCTTGGTCCACTACAGCTGCTGATCACAGTGGGCAGAGGTGTAAGCATCCATCACCTCTAGAAATTGTATTCTTCAAAGAAAAGCTTTAAAAATCGCTTGCATGCCTACATCCTACGAGTCTTTTAATTACAAGCTTTGCAATTAATATCACAGTAATCCTGAATCAGCCACAGCTTCTGCTTGTAGGTCCTACTCATACATCATGTATTTCTTCTCCCAAGTGCTTCTCTTTATGAATTTAGTTAAGCAAAATGTATGCCTGTCATTTCATGTAAGACTTAACCATGATCCTGTATTCTGCCACCTTTAAATCAAGCTAGTTCTACAACAGGAACTTCTGTCATTTGTGAAGTCATTTCAATCTACAGCATTGTTCTTGGTTTTAAGAGACACAAGCATGTTCATCTAATCTTGTCAGGAAACTGACATTAGCAGCCCAGCTGGGTGTGCTCGCAGACCAGGTATGAACCCTTTATTAGAAAGAAATTCTGTACCTGTGAGGATGGTGAGGCACTGGCACAGGCTGCCCAGAGAAGTTGTTGCTGCCCCATCCCTGGAAGTGTTCGAGGCCAGGCTGAACTGGGGCTTGGAGCAACCTGGTCTAGTGGAGGGTGTCCCTGCCCATGGCAGGAAGCTGGAACGAGCTTTAAGATCTCTTTCAACCCAAACTATTCTGTGATTCTGTATGATTGTTCAGGTAATACACATTGCATTCTTAGAAATACTGCCTCTCATCAGGCTGGTTTGCATCACCTGGGAGTCATGCAATCCAAGAAGCCACAAACTTGATGATGAAATCCTCTCTGAGACAGGAGGAAGCCAGCTTGGGTAGCAGTGTGACATCTAGAACAATGTATTTTAAAAACTGTGAGGGGAAAAAAAGCTAACCCTTATATTCCTGGAGAAGGACACTGGAGATCTGCCTCTAACCAAGAGTTAGACACTGCAACATGGGCTTTCCTTCTAACTCAGTGCTTCAGGTTGCACAGGGTATAAAGGCATTAAGACATTACCTAAGGCATCACCATAGAAATTGCAAGATGCAGAACAAAGAATTTCCAAAATGCAACAGATTTTCGAGCTTTGGGGACATGTTAGGTAGGGGGGCTTTCTTGTCTGGAGGGAAAAGGAAGGGGGCAAGAAATCTGCTTAGCTCCAGAAAGGAGTATCTCTTAATTTTCTATGGTGCTAGCTTCCTGCAGGTGGGTGGCCTTTTATTCATGCACACAGCGAATTGCTGACGAGGATAAGCTTTGTCCTACTTCCACTGAAATCAGCTGGCATAGAGAGGCTCTCACTGACTTTTTTAAATGGGATCAGAATCACTATCTTAAAATACTGTTATCATATATTAACAGAATAACACTGCTAAATGCATTTTGACTGACAGGCAATCCTGGGTTGCACTACAGGGCCCTACAAGGTATGAGGTAGGGGAGTGCCAGACCACTACCATGGGTCTTCTTTTGTTTGACTTCCTACCTTCAAGACAGTGCAGTTCAGGGCAGCTGACCAAATGAAAAGACCACTGACTGGTTGGAATCATTAGAGCAATGTGCTTTTACTGTGGGGGACAAAAACCAAGACCTGGTCTCTTTACAGTACTTTACAGTATAGATGGTTTAGGCAGAGGAAGTTAAAAACTATCCTCACAGGAATGTAACCATAAGACATGTCCAGAAGGTTTTCTGATCCACCTAACTAGACTGCTTCACCCTGTGGTGGTAAGAGTCGTGATGGGACTGGTGTCAAATGGTCTAAGGACAGAGAGAGAGAGTCCGAAATTTGCTGGTTCAGTTTCAGACCTGAAGGCAGTTTGCATGCTTAAAAGCTTGTGCATATTCCTTCAATACTGCTAGTTGCCCCCCTTGAACACATTCTTTAAAGATGTCACCTTCTATTTTGAAGAGGATGAAGCTAATCAGTATAAACCAAAGTGATTTTCCTGAGATTCTTTCATTACAGATGAATGGTTGCAGATGCCTATTTATTTCTCACAGATACCTCTGTTTTCTGGTGGCTTTCTGTTTCATGTTTCAACATCCTTTTCAATATTAGCCTGCTTGCCATTTTTTGATAAATTGGACCTTGAGTTTACTACACACTGTATTTCCCTCTGTGCTGTTTTTCAGATGTGGTTTTGTTATTTTTAGAGCCTTATCAATAAATAAGGACGTGGGTGTTTTATTTTTGTTTGTTTTTTTTTTTTGTAAAGCTCTTTTGTTATACAAAACAATTTGCAAAACACTGCCTGGACTCCTTTTGATGTCGTTGGCATCTGGTTCTTAATCTTTTAAGTCTTTCTTTCCAGTAACCTCTTGGATGAGGAGACTATTTTTATTCAGAGATAGTGCTGGTTATTATCACGGGAATGGTAGGTGCTCACACCTACAGTACTATCTGGACTCCCCACTGCTCTGCAGCTGCCGAAGTTTCCACTCAGAGGTATGCTTCAGAAGAAGTGCCTGAGCTCTTCGTATACCTATTCTATAACTTGGCATCCATCTGGAAAGCCAACTGTGTTTCCTTGCGTTTCCTCGATTATCCTCTTTTCTGTAGAGAAACCAAAGCACAGCTGTCTCAGTCTCTAAAGAATAAGCTGCTGTATTTCATTGTCCTGACTCACCAGCCATCACAGAGGTTGTCATAGTTTGAAATCTGCAGAGATATTGCAAGCATGTGGGGGAATTTTAAGTTTGTAATGTCCACAATTAAGGTATTACTTTATAATGTCTTTTTAATAGTAAATGACAACACAACTGGTAATTTTCTTCCTGCTGCTTTAAAATGCTCCATTGTTCCATCAGAGGATGATACTCAGAAACAATAGAATAACTATTGTTAAGCCACACTGAGCAACTGATCACCTACCCTAGCAGCATAAAGCTCCTGTGTTACTTGACTATTGAGTTCTAAGATTTTGCCCTCCTCCTTCGATGTCTTACCCAGATTTCTGGATCCAGTCCAGTTCTTCCTGTTAAAATACTGCAGTTGCTATTGTGCTGCAGTGTATGTATTGACAGGTAGATGCTGAAATGCCAAGCTGCACTTCTGGTGGACTTTTGCTGACTTAAAGATTTGCCACTTTGATGTGTTACATATTAGTACTTTACCTGTGTTCTACATAGAATGCTTTTGTGTTACATTTGAGGTTTGGATTTAAAAGAGAAAAATCAATTTCAAGTTTCCTTCACTTTTAGAAGACTAGAAAATGGGCACTAAGTATCAAAACTGCTAAAAAAAAAACACCACCAAACCACACCCTGGAAAAAAATCTACTGAAAGTAAACAAAATATTGTGTAAAACCTTAATGAATGATGGAAATTTTTCTCATAAAAAGGAACTTTAGGCCATGCCTAAATAACCTACAAACCTCTACCTAATTACTGTTGTGTCCTTGAGGTACAATCCTTTTAACTGGCTTTGAGACTGAATGGAAAACCGTGATGACTTTACATGTTTCTGTCACAATTACCCACGAAGGAATACTCATACATTTTGGTTTTGTTGGCTGAGGGCTTTATTGTTTTAGCTTAAAATCTGTTTCACCCCACTTGCTTCCCAGCTTTGGGCTGGGTCTGTTTTGGGCTATTTTAAAGTCCCCCTCCCCTAGCCACATAGGAAGAACAGGCAGAAAACTGAGAGGGAAAAAGAAATAAAATCCTTTTACATGTGAAGATGGTATCAGCATCAGCAAAATGATTTTCACCCTAGCAAAAAGAAAAGCAATATCAAACCAGTATTTGGGTGCATCAAAGGAACAACCAGAGCAGTTAACACAGCACAACGATGAATGGTGTGCTGCCAAGAGGCTGATTTCATTCAGCAGTGTACTTTCCAACGCCATCTAGTCCTGAGCGAGTGGACAGTGCCAGTGTGGGAGCTCTACTGTGCGTTAATGCTAGAACCCTAACTCAGGACCGAGCTGACCAGCAGTCGCTCAGGCAGCCCCAGCCATCCCGAACCCCGATTCACCGTGGACAAGGCAGATGCCTTTTGTTCTGTTGCACCGAGCTCTTCTGCATTCCACCCACGTACGGTGTCGTATCTCGCCGCCGGTCGCTGCTCCCCGACTACCGAGCGGTGGGCTTCGGCGGAGGGACCGCGGCGGGAAGGACCTTTTGTTTTCCACTGGCAAACGAGCAATCAGTTAATGCAGAAAACTTAAAAAGTCTCCCACTTTAAACACAAACTCCCCTTTCTTTCATTCCTGGCATGCCAGGTGGCACTGTTTTGGTTAGGGATGATTCAGTGCTAGTGCAAGTCAGTGTTTACACTCAATATAAACAGTTACCGGCCGGGACAGCACAACACCGGGAAGAAGCGACGACAACGACCGGCTGCGAAATAACGCCTTGCATAATACCAAAGCGGGAGAAGAGCTGGGAGAAGGCATTTGCGGATTAACAGAGTGACAGACACCACACACACATGAGAAGTGGGAGAACTGAATTTCTCTCACAAACGGGGCGCGGAGAAAGCCTCTGTCGCTGTAACCCAAAACAGCCTCCTCCGCGCGGGGCGACTGCGGGCCGGGGCCGAGGGGAGCCCGCTCCTCACCGGCTGCCCCACAGCCCCTGAGGAGTACAAGGGTGACCGATAGGCGGCCGAGCTCAAGGGCGGCGAGGCCGCAGCCCCCGCCTGCCGCGACAACCGGTGCCGGGCTGGAACCGGTCCCGCCGCCTCCCTCAGCGCCGGCGACGCCCGCGGGCCCTCGCGGCGGCCGCACGCGCCCGGCACGCCCCGCCCCGCGCCGGCGGCCCCTTGAGGCAGCCCAGCGCGTACCCGCCCGCTGCCGCCGCCGGGCGGGACCATCTCTCCCCTTAGTGACGGGGGGGGCGCGCTCCTTCCCGGCTCCCCGCCCGGCCCTCCTCCCCCCCGCGCGGAGGCGAGCACCCCTCTGCCTGTCGCGCGGCGTGGTCACGCCCAGCGCAGGCATTAGCGCCCCCCGGTGCGGGGCGCGGGCGGCTGGGCATCCTCGGGCACGGCGGCGGGTGTTAGGAGCGCGGCGGGCGCGGAGCGGCTCTAAGCTCCAGCCCTGCGCGCTCCGCCGCCCCTCTCTGCGCCGCCCGACCACGCCATGAAGCCTGCGGTGCTGGAAGTAATGAGGATGAACCGGGTGTGCAGAATGGTCCTGGTCACTTCCGTGGGCTCCTTCATCCTCGTCATCTTCTATTTCCAAAGTATGTTGCACCCAGGTAGGGCACCGCAACCGCACCGCTACCGCACCGGTCCCGCTCCCCGCCGGCGCAGGTGACAGGCGCCCCGGGAGTCCCTCGCTGACCGGCGGCTCCTTTTTTCGCCTCCCGGCGCCGCTGCGGCAGACGCGGGGCTCGGCGGCAGGAGCAGCGCCCGCAGCCCCGTCCCGGTCGCCGCCCGGGGCAGCCGCGGGAAGGTCGGCTCGCCCGCCGCAGGAAACTTCCCGCGGGAGGGAGGAAAGTTGGTTTATTTTAATGTCTTATTTTTCTCCCTCGTACCTCGCGCGTTTGGGGACGGCCACCGGCTGCCGACCCTGCTGCGGCGGAGAGCGGCACCGGCGCCGCCGAGCGGGGATCCCCGGTCCCCTCTGTCCCCCGGCGGGGCTGCTGGCCCTTGGCTTCCCGGCTTTTAGGTTTTTGGGGGTGTCGGGGACACTGCGGCCGGCCGGGGGCACCCGCTACCGCCGGCGGTCAACTTCGCTCCGGCTCGACCGAGTTGGCCGGACCGGCGACCGCTCGTCCCGTCCGCAGCGGCAGGGGCGCTTCGGCCTGCCCTTGTCTCGTGTGCTTGGGCAGCTGGGGAGCTCCGGGGGTGTCCCTGGCTGGGGACGGGAACGGGGCGCTCCGGGGTGCTCCTGGCTGGGGATGGGCGTCCGCAGCAGCCCAGGTTGCCGGGGTCGGCGTACCGGAGTGTGATCAGCGCTGATCCGAGCCCCTGGCTGCTTTCATCTAACAGTTTATGACTACGGTAGACACTAGGGATAGAGCTGTACCGGCTGTGGCGGGTACTGGCTCTCATGGAAGTCACCCGTGGGTCGGCTGCTGATTTCACGCCAAGGGGGTGTTTGGGCCACGGAAACTTCATGCCGGTGTCTGCTGCGCGCACTGTTATGTTACATCCTGGATTGCAGTGGACCTGCTTTGTGCAGCTTGGCAGAGAAATTTATCCAGCATGGCAAGAAAACCCAAACCCACCTGATTTTACCTGTCATCCCCTTTTCCTGCCTGAGAAATGAGGTGGAAATAGCGATTGCAATGTCTCTTTGGAGGGGCTTGACAGCTGAGCAGGGGAGTGAAGCTTGTTTAAGCGAATGATGCTTCTTTAGCAGACCAGGAACTGCAGTTGGTTGAGTGGCCACACTTCTCGGCAGGACGAGTCTCTCGGCTGTACCTGTAAAATTCTCCTGCCAGCTTTATAAGTGTTGTGCCTACAGGCAGAGCCGTAGCAAATAAGGGGATTGGATTTGGGGGAAAAAGAAGGATGTATTCCATGTGACTCTTTCCTTCCCCACTTGTGGCCACCAACCCATGGTTGATGAAAAATTATTTTTCCTTGAAATTTTTGGAGTCCAGTGGTGTAGAGGCTTAGTGTGCTGTTGGGATTAGGAATCGGTAGATCTGCTGTTCTGTGGTGTAGCTAAGTGCCATTTGGCGTTTATCTGCCAGCTGTCTGCTCCTCCAAAGCTGGTATCATTTGCTTGATGAATGTGTTCTTGTATGGTGCCCATCTGTGTTAATACCTGCCAGCTCCTTGGAAAAACTGGCATATTTCTTCTTTCCTGCTGTGTCTGGTCTGGGCTGACTGGTTTCCCAAGAAGAGCTCAGCTCCTGGCAGTCCTGGGGAAGGCTTTAGTTCAGGTCTTTAGGGCACCATGCAGAACTGTTGGTTGTAACAGTGCTTCACTAGTTCAATAAAAGTGCATCTTCATTGGTTGCATTCCATAGGTAATATATGTTGCACACATATTCGGAAAATTTGGCTGAGGGCCATTATTTCCCCTTGTTTCAGATGAATTATACTGCTGGAACAGTAACTCAGCATGCAGTAGGGGAAAGATGAAATATTCTTCTGTAAATTTTTGAATGTGGAAAAATCGTCTTTTAAGATTTCTCAGTATGCTCTATAGCTAGAGATTATGGCTTTGTATTCATGCTATTGTGAAACTATAAATAGGTTGAGATTTTAGTACAATTCAAAGGATTTACCATAAACCCCAAAGAGGGAATGCGATGCTGTGAAATCACCAGGAGGATAATCTGCACCCGTTTTCTGTTTGGTGCATATTTAGGTTGTTAGTGTGAGTGGAGTAGATCTGGAAATAAATGTGATCACAATCCGTTCATCTTCATATTTGATCATAACCAATTCTGCTTTTTTTTTTTTTTTTCTGTGGGCTGTTTCTACAGTGGAAACTGCTAGAAACCTATCAAATTCTATTCTGGACCCTCACAGAGTGTGGCCATTCAGTTTACGTATGGTTCATAAGGCTCAGACAGCTATTTTCACTAGGTATCTATTGTGTGATTGTATGCATTGCCATCTTGTTGGTGCAAATGATAGGTTAATGTGAAGTTCTTGAAGGAGCAGAAGAGAGGGAGGTAGTAGACCTGCCAATGTGATATACCTCAGGTAGCAGATAATTTTGGGGCATTATATCCTTATTTTACAATATGTTGGTTACCCTTCTTGCTGTGCGTCTAAATTTGCCAGAGGCAGACCCTGGCCAGAGTGCATGTCAGGTAGGATGGGGCTGGAGGTATTAAGAGCTTTAAAAATCTTGGCTGATGCCCTTGTTGTGGGGGGGTGTTGTAAAATTTAGCTGCTCCCTGCTGGAGTACATGTTTTCTATGCCACCCGCTACTGTTGCTGGTAGCTTACCGTGCTCTCTAAGATAGGCACTTCACAGTCAGAATTAGCTGCAAAATTCTCACCTGAACCTTTTAGACTGAAAATAAATTTCTTTCAGTTCCTTGCAACAAGTGTCAGCTCCTTATTCAAAATCTGACAGTTTCTTCCCCCCTCCTCCCTCTCCAAGTTCTCTTGGTGAATTTCAGGAGATTCTGCCTACAGAGCTTTCCAAACAGTTTTAGGTGTGAGACAGTGAAGATGAAAGATGCTGGAAGGCCACCAAATGAAGAGTGCAACCCCCCTCAAGGACAAGGCAACTCTTCATCTGTTAGATGAGCATTTTGCATTTTAGGACGTCTGAATGTGGGTCTCTTGCTATAAACATGAGAAAGACACATTTCTGCTGATGATTTTTTTTTTCTTTGGGATAAATAAATAGGAAAATGACATAGTAAACAGAGGCTTTGTTTTAAAAACAAGCAAACCCTCCTAACAACAAAACCACGCTGAAGCCTGAAGCAGGGAAGGTGAGCTTAGCCTTGTCTTTGCAAAAGAATATGATTTTTGTGTCCCTTGCACTGTATCTCAAATACCAGCCTGTTGGAAGGGGATCAGGTGCTTTTCACTCCTTGTTGTTTTTTGCTCCATACCTGTTCTTTATTGAGAATCCACTGGCAAATGTGCTGTTCTGTTAATGCACCACTGAGTTGTCTGAATTCTGGTAGAGATTATTGATATGTTGGGGAACCCACCTTCCCAAATTAGGTGTCCTGACCTAATGGCAATATTCCCCACCACCCTTTGGTGGGGGAAGGTGAAGAGCAGCAGCTCTCCAGTGCTCAGGAGCATTTCAAGGAAAACTCTGGACATGATTTTGGCTTTTATGGCATACCTGTGCAGCTGGGGGACTGTTCGCTCCTCAGGGAGGAAATGACAGTGAGGACTTCAGTGTGTTTTCGTTTTGCCTGTCTAGCCTTTTCTGAAAAGAAAAAGACAATTCACAGTGTTTGCTATAGCTGGGTATATAGCAGTATATGGCTGATTTCCCCCAGCTTTTTGCTCAGAATATTTTCCATCTTCACTCTCCTGCCATGTGCTATCTGGATAACTGAGTGCAAGCTGATTATTGCTCCATGCTCCTGGATTTTCTCTCTGTGTACAATGGGTCAGTCTTGGGATTTTATGAGACAGCCCATCATAGTTTTATCTGGTGGCTTTCTTGTGAAACCAGTTCTCTTGCTAGTCCTTAGCCTGCCTACGCTTTCACAGATGTGTTTGCTTTCTTCTATAGGCATTCCAGCTGTAGTGTGTGGGTGAACTGTGTGTCAGCGCAGGCAGGAGCTGTTCTGCTAGGCTGGGGTCAGACTGGTGAGGTGTGGGACCCCTCAGGATGAAAAATTGCACATAAAGGTAGAATAATTAACACTCTATCTTACCTGAGACAGGTTTATGAAACTAACCTTGTTTTCCCCCACTGCAGACCAGACTCTATTTGCTCCAGTTCTCATATCCTGTTTTAGACTTTTTCTCCTATGTATGGATGCTAACAAAGGTTAGATCCTCAGACTTGCCTCCTGTCCATGATCTTCTCAGTTACGCATGCAGCACTGTGTGACTGATAGCTGCTTGTTCCTTACAGAAGGCTGTTGTCTATCTTTGCTCAAGTGTCAGAACAATTCAGATCATATGAGGTTTTTTTTTTCCCCTGATATCTGAAGACAAGCTCACCATTGGTTTTGATGGAAGATTCTGTTTGAAAATCAATGCAGCAGTCTCCCATCTTGCAATTGATCCTTGCTTTCTCCCCTGCTTATAAAGGGGAATGAGATCTGCAAAGCAGTGGGTGTGTGGCATTCCTTTGATGGACCCCTATACTGGTTTTAAATTATTCTGTTTGGGATACGGAGAAATGGAGTTCATTTGACAGCCACAAGAACCTGGCCTTCATTTAATTACATGCAATGAAATCCATCTCCCAGTTGCGGGCAGAAACCTTGCTGTGTGTGCCTGCGTGGGGGCTGTGCTGTATCTTTTTGTCAGTATCCCTATAAGCTTTTCATTGACTTCCATGGGACTGCATTGTCAGTGTGAGCAAACTTGTCCCAGTCCTTCTTCTCAAAAGCAGTGGTAGTCCAGAACTGCTTGAAGTTGGGACTTAGACTGCTTTTGTTTTCTGAAGATCTTCCTGGTTAGTGATTATTAAGCTTTTAAGAAGAGCAACTCTTTCTATTGCGGTATGCATCAGTGTAGCTTTCAGCAGCAACTGCTTACTGACCTTAAGAAATGAAAATCTGTTTCTTAATGTGTTCAAGCAAAAAATACCTGGCACTGTCCACAGTAATGTCTTTGCTTTTTAATTTATCAGAATATT